AATAAAAAAAGACTTTTTCTACAGTTTAAAATTTGTTTTAAATTCTATTTTGGGGGCTGGAATAGTAAGGAATTCTCAATTCCTTACAAATTTAGGGTTTCTTTTTGATAACCAGGTTACTTGTCAAGTCTCACGCAACTCGTAACCATGTAACCACATCTCCAGACTTTTTTATGGTCATGAGACTATGTGGTGCTCCAAAGAAAAGTAGCCAGAAGCAGGCTGTCTCTGTGGGAACAGTTCAGATTTTTCTGTTCCCTCTGCCCTTCGTAGTTGCTCTTTGGAAACACAAGTGCCAGGAGCAGGCTCCGTCAGTGCACCTTTATTGAGGCAGCGTGGTATAGTTCTGAGCACCCACTGAGCCTGGATTTAAAGCACTTACTCAGTACATCTTAGGCTCTCCAAAAAGCTGGCACACAACAGCTCCCTTGTCAGAGGGAGGAAGGTCAGCTGCATGCAGTCTCTTCTTACTGAAAGAAGTAACTGGAGAGGTTGACCGCCTTTGATCTTGCAGTATTGATGCCTTTAGGGACCTCCTGTAAACAGAGTATCTGCTACTTACATTTAAAACTTAATCCACAGACTGAGAAGTGAAAGACCTCAGTTTATCTCGAGTTCTTCTGTTCTGATTCGCAAACATTCTCAGTGTAGTTTTGTATGTCGTGTTATTTTTGTTACCTGAATTTAAAAGGAATTGTGGCAGGACCAAACTACTAAACGCATAATTAATAGTTTTAAAGGCTTGATCTACAAAGTTGTAAATGCAAGTACAAAAGCTAAGTCAATTCCCTAGCGTTTTGAAACTTGTGCTGTATGTAACAGATCATCACCTTACTAGGTAGAATAAAGATTTCAGCCTTAATTGTGAAGTCATGTGTTTAAAGGGCCATAGTAGTCTCTGAATACTACTTTATACAACTTATTTTCTCTGTATTTGTTTTAAAAACAGTTTAATGGGGGAGAGTTGCTCGTTTGAAGACTTAAATTGGAATTTCTGTTCAGTGTGTCTTATTTACAGACACTGGAAGCCAGCGACTGTCCTTGCAATGATTATTTTTCTAACACATTAATGATGAGCGTGAAGTAATGAAAGGTAGTTTTGTAAGGAAATGTGAACAGTCTTGTAGAAGAATATTGTACTGAGGTTTTTCTTACACCACTCTTGTGTTGTAAGAATGAAACTATTCTCCTGTCTGTTGTGATTGATTCTTAATGCTTTCTTCCTAGCTGGCAGTCTGAGATGGGACCTGCAGTAGATACGCTTTGAGCTGTCACAACTTCTAGAGCATTTCTCTACGTGAACATTGCTGAATGTGTTCTCTTTTTGCATTAATGCTGAAGTGATAAGGAAAATACACTGTAAAATAATACCAAGCCTTTCTAATTCTCAAAAGATTCATGGGGGACATGACCTTTTCCAGAACCAAGGCTACTCTTCCATTAGGCGTGCTACATCAATTCTATATTGATCAATAATATTTTAAAATGTAGAACAAGTTACTTGCCAGTGAATTTTGTATATTACCAGGCCTTGCAAAAGTGTGCTATTAGTATTGGGAGACAGGCTGCCAAGGACTTTGATCGAACATCTGTTATCTGTAAATGTTTTATGAACTTGAATGTGAAGGTTTTAAATAAATTTAGGTTATACTGGGAACATTGCTTTAGAAGTGAAGCTATGTAACGCTTCACTGTTGTTTGGACTTTCCATATTAAGTCTCATCACCATTTGGAGTGTGACTGAAACAGTAATGGATTAGGTGATTTCTGGCTTTTCGTTGTTGTGGGTTTTTTTTCCAGAGATCTCTTTCAGTTCTTTTACTGAAGTAGGCATACAGGAGCAAACAGAGACTGAATTTTTATCGGCAGCTCGAAGGCAAACTTTGTAGCTGACAAGTGGTAGGAAGCTGCCTGCCAGTTCTAGGGCTGAATTCCTAGTTCTATAGCAGTGCAGTTGGCTGCTGCAATACATTAACATTATACAACCATTTCTGATCTGTCTAAAAGGTTACAAAAGGAATAAGGCAGTGAAAAATCAAGATAATTTTTATTTTAATGATTTTATAACTGTCAGCACTCGAACTATTAAATTTAAAGGCTAACTGAGAACATGGGTACTAGATTGGAGTTTGGAGCAGCTTGAAAGCTGGGCAATAGAATAAACTGCTTCATGTAAATAGGTTGTTACAAAGTATACCGTATACCATATACCATTGTATTTGACAATGGTTCATGTCAGGCTTTTAGATATGCTGGTCTCTTGACCAGAGTTAATTTTTGTCAGCTATAATTACCCCCCTCAAAAATGAAAAACTATTCAATGTGAAGAAACATTAGCTTTTCTGTCTCTAGCTTACCTATTGGAGCTGTGGAGATTTTATGTGACTGTACATGATACAGCACAATAGATCATAGAATCATGGAACAGTTAGGGTTGGAAGGGACCTCAAAGATCATCTAGTTCCAACCCCCCTGCCGTGGGCAGGGAAACCCTCCACTACACCAGCTTGCTCAAAGCCCCATCCAACCTGGCCTTGAACACTTCCAGGGATGGGGCAGCCACAACTTCTCTGGGCAACCTGTTCCAGTGCCTCACCATCCTCAGAGTGAAGAATTTCTTTCTTATATCCAATCTAAATCTCCCCTCTTTCAGTTTAAATCCATTGCCCCTTGTCCTATCACTCCACGCCCTTGTCAAAAGTCCCTCTCCAGCTTTCCTGTAGGCCCCCTTTAGGTACTGGAAGGCTGCTAGAAGATCACCTTGGAGTCTTCTCTTCTCCAGGCTGAACAGCCCCAACTCTCTCAGCCTGTCTTCAGAGGAGAGGTGCTCCAGCACTCGGATCATCTTCATGGTCCTCCTCTGGACCTCTTCCATCAGCTCCATGTCCTTCTTGTGTTGGGGACTCCAGAGCTGAACGCAGTATTCCAGGTGGGGTCTCACGAGAGCAGAGTAGAGGGGCAGAATCACCTCCCTCGACCTGCTGGCCACACTTCTTTGAATGCAGCCCAGGATGTGGTTGGCTTTCTGGGCTGCCAGTGCACATTGCTGGCTCATGTTGAGCTTCTCATCCACCAGCACTCCCAAGTCCTTTTCCTCAGGGCTGCTCTCAATCCATTCTCCGCCCAGCCTGTCCTTGTGCTTGGGGTTGCCCCGACCCACATGCAGGACCTTGCACTTGGCCTTGTTGGACTTCATGAGGTTCTCACAGGCCTGTCAAGGTCCCTCTGGATGGCATCCCTTCCCTCCAGCGTGCCCAAAACACCACACAGTTTGGTGTTGTTTGCAAACTTAGTGAGGGTGCACTCTATCCCACTGTCCATGTCACCAACAAAGATGTTAAATAGCACTGGCCCCAGTACTGCCCCCTGAGCAACACCACTTGTCACTGGCCTCCGCTTGGACATTGAACTGTTGACCACAACTCTTTGAGTGTGACCTTCCAGCCAGTTCCTTATCCACCGAGTGGTCCATCCATCAATTCCCTGTCTTTCCAGTTTAGAGGCAAGGATGTTGTGTGGGACAGTATCAATGCTTTGGACAAGTCCAGGTAGACGATGTCAGTTGCTTCCAGTTGTCTTCCCTTATCCATCAATACTCATCATAGAAGGTCACCAAAGTAGTCAGGCAGGATTTGCCCTTAGTGAAGCCATGTTGGCTGTCACCAGTCACCTCCTTATTTTCCATGTGCCTTAGCATAGTCGCCAGGAGGATCTGCTCCATGATCTTGCCAGGCACGGAGGTGAGACTGACTGCCTGTAGTTCCCTGGGTCTTCTTTTTTTCCCTTTTTAAAGATGGGGGCTATGTTTCCCCTTTTCCAGTCAGTGGGAATTTTACCAGACTGCCATGACTTCTGAAATATGATGGATAGCGGCTTATCCACTTCATCTGCCAGTTCCCTCAGGACTCACGGATGCACCTCATCACGTCCCATGGACTCGTGCACCTTCGTGTTCTTTAGATGGTGTTGAACCTGATCTTCCCTTACAGTGGGCGGTTCTTAATGTGATCCATGTGGTTTTAACTATATAATTTGAATAGAATGATTTATCAAGTAATAATTTATCATTGGAACATGAGATTGATTTGATTTGTGTATGTAAAGATTTATAAAACTGTGGTGCGATTACTGTATTGGTGTGCCTAAGAAATGACCTGAATGTATAGAATAATTGTAACTCTTTTTGGTATTGAATTCTTGCTAGAAATATTTGTATTTAAAGCTGCATACAGATTATTAAGGCATAAACAAAGGTAACTAATGCTTCAGAACTTTATTTTGTCTTAACAATATACATACTTGTAATCTGAATGTGTGGTGCCTCTACTTGTCTAGTTTGAGGTGGGACAGCATGTGCCCTCTTTGAGATGGAGAAGAGGGCAGTACATTCCTTTTCTTTCCTTACCACGTTAGTGATGGAATTGGACCTGTGGGGTATTTGTGGTCAACCCCCGAGCAGTGCGTCACCTGCACACTGCTGTGAGCCTGGTTTGGGGAACCGCTGAGAAAGAGGACAAGCAGGCACTAGCCGTTGCTGGTGTCCAGACTGTTCACTCAGGCTGTTGTCTCAGTGCTCCTCAGAACTCGGGAGGGGAAGAGCCTGTAGCCAAGATGCACTGTTTGAATGATGGCAGCTCACTCCCCAAAGCTGCTCTCCTGCAGGGCCCTCTGCCCACGCACAGTAGTGCAGTCAGACACGTTCCTCTTACACGACAGGAGACAGCTGTAGTTCCTCTTCCATCTGAGTGTGTTTTTTCCCAGCACGCCCCTTCCCAAGGAACAGGAAAGTTTGAGAGGAGTGTTGCCCCGGCAATTCCTCCAACCCAGAGATGCTATAGAAGCCTCAGCAAGATGACAGTGTAACCTCTTCTGGCAGGCAGCAAAACAGACTGCTGGTTGAACACACTTCACCTGGTCAGGTCATATGCAAACAGGCTGTACCTCAGCAGGCACATAAGTGTTAATGTGGTCTTAATGTGTTCATGTGTGTGTCTTTTCAGGGTGTTGATGATGCCTTCTATACGTTAGTTCGGGAAATCAGAAAACACAAAGAGAAGATGAGCAAAGATGGTAAAAAGAAGAAAAAGAAGACAAAGACAAAGTGTATAATTATGTAAATACAATTTATCCTTATTTTTAAGAAGTACTTAAGTAATTTTTGTACATTACACTAAATTATTAGCATTTGTTTTAGCATTACTTTACTTTCTGCTTCATGATCCTGTTAGCTTTACCTGAATGCTTGTTTTAAATGACAGTGGAAACATCATTCCTCTTGAAGTGCCAGTATTCTTTGACTGTTGGTTCTTGAACTAGCAATGCCTGTGAAAAAAACAAAGCAAAACAAAAAAGACAAAAAAAAACACACACAAAAACCTGAGAACTGTCTTAGGACTCTTTGGTGCATGCACAGTTGCTAACTTCTTATTTTTCTTACTGATTGTGAACTTCTGTTCTGTGTGCAAACCAAACAATGAAATGATGCTCTACATATTCTAACATCCCCTTTAATTTTTTGGTTTTTAAATCTGATTGGGAAAAAGGACTAGTTAGCAAAAGAGACTTTCATTTCAGCCTTTCTTTTATTTTAGACTGACTGCAATATAGAGAGACCAGAAGCCTTTATAGTCTTCCTGTAGATTTTGCTTCTAGGCATCTAGTCTTGTAGCATTTCAGATCAACTTTAATGAATGTAAAGATAGAACTTTCACAAAAAAAAAAAAATCACTGCGATTTGTCATGGTCACTCCTTAAATACTCTATTTTTTCTATAAAAAGAAAAGAAAAAATAAAAAAAGACAACAATGCACATCTGGCAATGGAAAAAGTAAAAGTTCTAATTCGGTTGATTTGCTATTGTTAATGCATTGCTTTAAGACTTTCACTGACTTTTTGTGTCTGAAGACCCCGGGTGAAATCCTAGCTCTCCTGACCCCCAGTGGCAAATCTTTAAGTAGGTTTGTTCAGTAGGTACAGGATTTCACCCTTAGCATCTCTAGGAAATACTAGAAAGCCTTAACCGATAAGTTGATTCAAATTCTTAGGTTAATTCATACATGGATCCAGAATTTACTGTAAGAATTAAATCAGAATGAATCCTAAATTATGTAGCAAAGTAAAACCATTCTTTCCCCCGCCCCCCCGCCAAGAGTGGCGTTAAGTTTCCAGATGCCCATTTTGTGCAAAATAGGGGAAGAATTTTAAATTCTAGTAACATCAAATGAGTGAACGAATGAGTTGAATTTAGCTGCTTCATGCAAATAACTTGGAAATCCACCATGCCATAAAAATGGTGTGAAATTTGCACAAACTGTCAGCATAGAACATGGTTTCCAGAGTCAATGTTGTTTCTGTGATGTTCGTGAAGTACTAGTTTTGTTGCACAGATTAAATGGTTGGTGAGTGGCATTCCAGTGTCTAGACTGTCATGAAGCTAGACCAAGATTTTAATGTTGTCTTTCTCTGTGATTTTTGTCCCCCACCTCCCTCTTTTTATTTTCCGATTGGAATTAATGCAGAATTTTTGCAGCGGCTTTCCTTTTCAGTACTGCAGTAAGTGCAGTAATTCCAGCGTTCCCGGTTCCTGTTGTCTTACTGTAAATGTTGTATCATTTGACTGTTTCATTAGGGCCTGGGTTCCTGAAGGTACACATCTTCATAATACCCAACTCGGTCGCAGAGTAAAGTTTGAAAATGCAACTCTGCTATGCCCAAAAAAACACAAGACACTGAAATAGGATAGTTCAGGATGCTGGAAAGTTTGGAAGAGGGAATAGCAGCGTTGCCCTAACCTGAGGTATACCTAAACAATGATGTAGAAATTCTACACAGTACAGTTTTCATACACCTGTGTAACTTGGACCGTTCATATGATGTCAGAGGTGCAACTGCATGAGAAAAGTATTCTGCTTCTGTGAAACCCCCCCAGTGACTCTGGCAGGTGCAGAGATGCACGACTGGCAGGGGATGTCTGCCATCTGGAATGCTGCGTGTTCTTTAATTTCAATGTGGCTGAGAGAAATAAATGCTTTTTCCTGCCTGCGCCTCCCATTCCCCACCCTCCACCAACCCCCAGGCCCCCCCCCCCCCTTTCAGCTTCAATGTGAAACATACTTTAGATGATGAAATATTCTGAAAAGCAGTAATAGGAGAACCTAACATGATATCCTAAGGACCAAGAAGGAATAAGAACAGATTCTTAACGTCGCAGAGCGTTTTTTAGCTTCTGAGGTTAAAACATTTTGGAGACAAGTTAGTTATTTGCATATTTTAGGCACTCTTGGTTATATACGAAGAACGTAGCAGAAGTGGATAGTATACCTTGAGCAAATGGAAGTAATCTTCAGGTTACTTGAAGATTTTTGGTAACTGAGTCACACTGCATGTAAAATTAGGGCTGGTCTTAAATTCTTACGTTAATTTAACTAAAACCTGTTAGGAGAAATTTTAGCTGAAATGTCTTAATCATCAAATGTGGATGTATATAGCTCTAATATAAAGCTATATATAAGTTTGGGGTGTTTGTTGTTTTTTTTTTCTTGTAAATGTGATCTGTAGCTACCAACCTAATTAAATCAGTACAAAATCTGTTTGGATTAGCCCTTATTTACTTTAAGAAAAATACACGTCCTTGCCACTGTTGTGCAGTTTTGTCTTACTGTTTGTTGAGATTTGGTGAAGCATGTTGGATTGCAGCTTGCACAAGTTGATCTTGTAATTATTCCGT